TTACAGTCTATGCTTGAGTAACTATAATTTAGACACTTTGCAGTCTCGGCGCGAGGAACAGTGTTCTAAACTGTTTGATGCAATCTCTAATGACCACAAACTATCTCACTTACTTCCTACCAATCATGAAAACCATTATAACCTAAGGAGAATTAGAAAGTACGACCTCCCTAGCGTGCGCACCGAGCGTTTTCAGAGGTCCTTCATCCCAAGCATGTGCCGACTAGCAAACAACAATATGTGAATATTCGACTGATCAAGCCTGCCTAGTATTACTTGATCTTAGTGATATTTTATTTTTTTATAGTTTCTGATACAATTGTAATTATTTATTACAGATAGATAGATAGATAAATCGTTTATTAAAAAGAAACACCTCGCAGTCCGAAGACTGAATTACGTGTATAATGTACAATACAAGAAACAAAATTCATAGTTAAAATAGTTTAAGAATCTTAATAATAAAAATATACAAATCTAATAAAAAAGCTTAACTTTGGATGATCTTGTGTTAAAAAATATACATACTTAAACATATATATTTACATCCTTAGGCTATGGCTAACAATAAAAGATTTTTTCAGATGATCAGTCTTGCACACTGGCACGTTAAACTTCCTATTGTTGCGCAGCTGCCTGTGGTGCTCAGCTTTAGGTGGGAGCAGACCTGCGAGCTTGTGATTAATGTCAAGAACAATGTCATTAAAAAGATCAAACGATAGAGATGCTCTCCTGTCGTAAAGAGAGGAGATGCCTGCCTCTTTGAGCGCGCTGTTGTAGCTTGCATAAGGAAAGATAATGCGCAAGGCGCGCTTCTCAATACGTTCCAGCTCTTCGGATAAATAGAACGGAAGGCTGGAGTGAAATACTTGACATGCGTATTCTAAAGCCGATCTTATGGTACTACAGTAAAATAAAACAAGATCACTCGCACAGATACCAGCACGTTTGAGTTGACTCAGGAGGTACAATACTCTTGTATGTATCTATTATAACATAGTATATCATTGTAAAATATTATGCATTTCAGCCCCTCCGGGCTGCGATGTAATATATTTTTTTAAACTATTAAACCTTAAACCTATTAAACCTAAAATATTGAAATTTGGATATACAGAGTTATCTAATTGCGCAGCTTCCAGATTTCAACTCAAGAAATGCGAGCACCTGACGTCACTGTAAGTGATAGGTGAATAAAACCAAATTGAGTGCTACGTGTTAATTGCCTCCGTTAAAGGGCAACATCGATATCGTTTTGGAGATAATTCTCCCATTCCCTACTCTTAGTCAGCTTTAATGAGTAAACTACGTAACTACCTCCAAACAGATGCAGCACTCGTCATGTCCTGAATTTTCTCGGCAGGAATGTTTGCCTTCCAGCCGTTTGTCCAGACAGACGTTACACACGTCACAGTGGAAGGAGCGGTCCTTGTAGATACTGAACAGAAAATAGAAGCATCACTTTGCAGGTATTTACTCGAGTACAACATGATTTTTGGGAAAAGAAACTTTTAACTCCTTCTGAAAAACGCTGTATTTCTACTCGTTTAGCTGGAATAATTATTGAAAAGGAAACTTGATACTCATAAGGAAACCTATAATTCTTTACCCTCGCCTCTAAGATGGCGCTAGGATTCTTCTTTCCTACTGTAACACAAGTCAATAACTCCCTGACTAGGTACTGAGGCAGGCCAATAATTCCCTGCGCCTTATTCCAATAATACAATTTCTTCAATAATGTTGTTTCACCTACCGGCAGATACCGCATTTTGTGCAGTGATAAGGAGCTTTATCTTCGCCTGTAAAGTGTTTACATACAGAGCAGAAATATGCTGAAAACCTTGTTTTGCATCTGACACAGGTGTGGGCGTCCTGGTTGATCTTAAAACATCAAACATTCGAAGTTAACTCGCTTATGACCTAAGTGTAACAGCTCTTCGTCCACTTTTTTAAAATTTCAAGTCAAAATCATGTCTATTTACCTCTTGTTGATGGCTACAAATAGAGCACTCGACATAACACGCCTCTCTTGCTTTCGAATTGTCATTTGGACACCCTGAGTTATTGTGGCAACGATGGCAAGGAAAGAACCTTCCGCAGCATGGGAACTTGACACGGCAGAGCCGCTGATAATGCTCACACAGCCATTGTTGACCCTCAGTAACAGCCGAGTCTTGCGAAGGTGTTTCTCCTCCATCTCCCGTCGCGTTCCCTTCAACTCTTTCACTGCTGTGTTCCCTTTCCCTCATTTCCCTCGCTTCCTTTTCTTTTCTTTCACGTACCTGTTGTTCTTTCCTTGCCCGCTCTTCTTTTCTTTTTTGCTCAGTTTCTTTCAACGCTTTCTCTCTTTCTTGTCTTTCTTTCAACGTTCTTTCGACAAGCGAGCAAGCTTCAGCCACACGTCGCTCGAGTACAGCCAAGGATTCGTCAGCAAACGTATTTGAATTACTGTTAAACAGACCAAGACTAGCATCTACACTTTCCCGGTCCGAAAAAATTCTCGGAGCGTCATCTTCTCTTTCAAACTGCGATCGGAACGTCGGCCTTTCGGCGAGTACATGTACATCCGCGGAGATATTTGGCACAGTTCTTGCTTGTACGTTATCATTGGTGAACTCTTTGACTGTCAACGGGAAATTTGCTTTAGATTTTGATTTAGATTTTGCTTCAGATCCATCTTCCAGGAAACTTGAAGTTTGAGGCAGTTGTAAGGTCTTCGCTGGAACAACTTTGGGCATCAGGACTAAGTTTAGGGATGGCTCTTGAGGCTGATACCCATCAGGACTTAAGTATGCTTGTGGAAGAGATCCCGTGGTGCTAGTGAAGGCAGAATGATCTCCGGCTGTAAAAGTTGTGACATCAGGACATCCAGGATATGTCGATGAACTTGGCGGAGTAGGGTAGCACACCTCAGGCATATACCCAGATCTGTTGTACTCAGAGTGGATACCTGAGGGTTCTTCTAAATCTTCATATGGGCCACAAATATCCCATTGCTTGTCAGATGCATTGTACTCATAAGAATGGCGTTCGAGAAAACTGGGATCTATTCCGATATGATTTTTTCCACATTCATCTTCACTAGGATCCCTTTGTGAACCGTGACCTGACGAAAGATTGCTTCGGCGTCCACCTTTTAAACCACGATATCTTTCTGATTTCGAATTACTCTCAAGCAAATCTCCTTGTGGCTTTGGAGGGGCAACAGCTTGAGCATTCCAATCTTTGTCAACATCACATGCTCCATTCGTGGCGAGTGCATCGGGGTTATCACCGCCGTCTGCAACCACATCTCCTCCATGAAAAGAAACTTGAAGAGCGTCACTCCGTCCATCACAGGCCACATTTTGTGTTTCCAGTATCTTCTGCGAAGTGCTGATTCCTCTGTTCTTATCCTTTTGGGACACTTTTTCAAGGCGATCATCGTGCTTGCCTCTACGGTTTTCTTGAACAGAGATTTCATCTTGTTCTTCTAATTCTTCGTTGCAGTCCCACTTGTTACTGTCCTCTCTAGAAGATGGAATATCAGGACTCACAACACCATCTGCTGCGTCACAAGAAAACTCTTGCTTGCTTCGGTCAGGGCACGACTTCAACTTACGAACCTCTTGAAAGTCCTCGCACAATAATAGCCTTGCAAGGCCGATATTACATTGCACTAAATCCGGGTGATCTGAACCGAAGTCAGAACTTGTCAAAGTACTTAATGCTTCTTCAAAGCAATTCTTTGATGACAAGTTTCGTTCCATCAGGAGAAATCTAACACCTTGCCTATAAAGAAACAATGCATATGTGGGGTGGTTTTTCCCCAGCGTTTCTCTGCAACTTGGTACAAAAACGTCAAGGAAGGATACAAAGTCTAAGTTTCCTTCTTTCAAGTAAAAATCAACTATATTCAATATCATTGCGAACAAGAAGTCCCAACTGAATTTTCCATAACAACCGAGGACGGCTTCAAAATCGAAAAGGAAAAGGGAAAATGAAGATATCACTGACGTAACAGAAAACGGAGAAGACAGTGATGACGATGATGATGATGATGATGATGGCGACGATGATAAAACCGGTGACAATGATGGTGATGATGACCCTGACCCTGATGATGACCCTGAACTTGATGATGAAGAGGACGATTTTGAGGAAGGCGAGAGTGGTGGTGATGATGATTTAGGATAAAGAGAAGGGAAAATCAAGCGCTCGGCCATTTTCTTTGCACAAGCCACCTCTCCAGCCATTTGATAAGCCAGACACATTTTGGACGATATAAATTTCGAGAATATTCCATCTCTATTGTTCATCTTCTCAGCAAGTAAATCCAATCTGTTCAGCTCCATAAGTGCTTTCACAGGCTCTTTGATCTCCAAGAGTAACTCAGCTCGATTGTAGTGTATGGCAGCTACCAAATGAAGGGGAAGATTGGGGTCTTTGACTTTCAAAAGGAGACAGTCATGCAACTTCACTGCAGCTGGGTAGTTGTTCTGAAACTGGTAAACTAAACTTAAGTTGGTTTGTATAGTAACAATGTTTGTTTCCAGCGAGTTAGCTTTGTTTTTGTTTTTAAATGTTTCAAAAATCTCCAGCGCACATTCTAGATAATCCTTAGCCTTGTCCACGACTCTCGTAATCAGATAAACACAGCCTATATTAGTCTTGGCTACTGCTATTAAGATATCGATAGCTTGTGTTTTGTGTTTAGGACCTGGCGTAGTATCAGATGTGAAAAGAGAATCACAGCGCTGAAATAAGTCTATAGCTATTTTATATTTATGCAACTTGAGTGCAACAGCTCCTAAGACAATAGTATAGCTGGCATAAAAATAATCATTCTTATCTGCGATCGGCTCAGGGTCCGACAAAACCGCGCCAAAGAAAGGAGGAGCGGAGCTTTGACTCAAACACATCTCTCTACCTCGATCCACTTGCTCCTTCTCGTAATCAGTTGGGTTTTCGAAGCTAACTGGATTTAGTTTCAGGAAAATCTCATACGCAGCTTGCAAAGAATCTGTGGCTATCTCCACTCTGCCTTGCTGGAACTGATCCATCGTTTCTTTAAAGTGTTCAAATGTGCTGCGTGTGGCCGACTGATTATCATCACATTCCAATTCCTTCTTAGGATGGGGTCCTGAACAAACGTTTTCTGGGATCTTGGGGTCTGCTCGGTCCATCTTTCCATGTCAAATTTATCACTCCTGAAAATAAGGTAAATCTCAAAACCACATCCACAAATTTTTAATAATAAAGTTGAATGGCACTCTAAGTCATGGTTTAAGTCAACTCTCTCGCAAGTGTTTCTTGCGTTCTTGCCGAGGTCCTACAGCAGGCTGGTCCATAGTCTTTGATGACTGTCCAATGGGACCATGCGATATTATGAAAAGTTTAAGAAAAAATAATAAAGTTTGAAACAAAAAGAGTAGTTCTAATATGATCTTGGTGGTTCCAACAGCATTGTTTTACTAATTTAGTCATACATAAACGGGACAAACAGCGATCGTCCAAAAATTAGCAATGCTGGCTTATGTGACAATTCACTGATCGGTGGACCATTATATTACATGCAGAGGTTGCTATTATCTCACAAACCAATGCAAGCAAAAGAACATTGAATAGCTCTGAATAAAATTCCCGTCTTAGATTCACCTAACTTTGTGTCCAAGTTCTAAACTTGAATCGATTAATAGTTACTGTAAAGTGCTACGGAGACCAAATTTAGCGTTTGTCAGATTTTTCACTTTTTAGAATCCTTATCGGCTACTTACCACCCCCACGAAATTTGGAATGAAAATTCGAAGTGGGCGTCTTTTTGTTTTAGACTTGTTTTCCTCGATTCAACGTCCGCCATTACTCAAACTGCGAAATGGCTGTGCGTTAGTCTGTGACGTCATATTATCCCCTAAACTTTTGCGCAAGCTTTAAACCAAGAAATGGACGGAGATTGTTGTACTTGAACAATTCTAGGAGAGTCTAATCGTCGTTTTGAGGCCGGAAATGGAACCCTAGCGTCGTGTTATGCAGGATTGAGCAATTTGTCTTTAATGTGAATACTGAAATATCGCTACACAGGCCAAACGAAATAGTTACGAAAGTTAATGGATGGCATTCAACAAGAGCAACTTTGGCTCTTATTAATCATTATTTTGCGCAGGCACAGACAATGCAGGAATAATATCTTTCGAAAAAGAAAGCAATTTTGGGTTCGTGATATCTATCGACGTCGAGCAGCCAAGGAAGAGTATGCTAACCTCGTCAGCGAACTACGACTTGGTGATCGTGAATCGTACTTTCGGTAGGTTCAGTTCGAGTATTTTAACTTTTAATTTCGTAATTTTACCGTCAAGCTCACACGTTTAAATTTGTTACGGCTATTTGTGCATTTTGGAAAGATGGAATCGAGGATTGTGATTGGTTTATTCTTCCGCTTCC